ATATGTTTTTATTGTTGTAACAAAATTATCCATTTAATTAGAGTTTCTTAAAATATACTAAATTATTTAAACGAGTGAAAAAATTTTACTAAAGTTTACTAAATTTATTATTATTATTATTATTATTATTATTATTATTATTATTATCAATAATAATGCGAACATTAGAAAATTATTCAAATGTTTTTTCATGGTCAGAACTATGTAGCTATGGCTAGATGGAATGATTAGATTTTTATTTAAACCTGAAAATATTTTTTAGACAGTAAGAATTTTTGGAGATAACAATGATTTACTGATACAAGTCCTACTAATTTACCCATAGCTGGGGGGAGAAGATTTTGATTACTCTTTGTGAATATAAAGAACCCAGATGGAATTGAAACTTGGCTCTATGATTTCCAGTTCTGAACCATTATCCATTACACCACCCACACATCTAAGCTTACAGCACCTTGTATTCTTGAATGGTCATGCATCTAGGTACTGATCAGGCTCTATGTTGCTTGATTTTGGTGATCATATGGGAGCCAATGTTTCAACATTATATGGCCATAAGCCTCGGCTATGGCTACAGTAGGAAATTCAAGTAGATTTAGTTTAATCCAAAAGAGACTTTCAGAAAATAGATGTCTTGCTGAAAATGTTGAAGTTTTATAGAGCAAAAGAACTTCTATGGTAATTTAACTTTTCTCCGTTTATAGGTTGGGTATTTGGTTAATATTAGAAATTCAAATAACCTATAACAATAAAGACTATTACAACTACAAGGTACAAATAAGCAACAAAAATAAGCTGAAAGACTCTAAAAAATGATGAATATTGACAATGTTTCATATAAAAGATTCAAAAAGACTAATTATATCTATTGCTGCTAAAAGGTATAAACAAACAAGAAAAAAAAAACTGTCAAAAAATCATAATAACAATGCTTCATCTAAGAAATTGAGACAAGGTAAGTTTGTACATTATCTATATTATTCGGACTATTGTCCTCATCTTTGTCGCCATATTTATTACAACGTTTAGGTCTTTCAGTATTTGTCTATATTTCTGAGATGAGGTATTATTATGTACATTATCTCGTTCACTGGGGTAGACTGTTCTAGTTCCACATGCCATGATTAATGGATGTCAGTTGTCAGTTATCTCCTGTTAATTTTCCCTCTGAAAGTTCTCCACTGCCTTAACTGGGTATTGAACTCAAACTCTTTGAGTCCTGTCACTGGATCTAACCAAACCAGACATTCCAACCACCTGAAGAAGGCCGGAGTGTACAACGGCTGAAACGTTGTAATAAATATGGTGACAAAGATGAGGACAATAGTCCGAATAATGAGGATAATGGACATAATAATACCTCATCTCAGAAATATAGACAAATACTGAAAGACCTAAACGTTGTAATAAATATGGCGACAAAGATGAGGACAATAGTCTGAATAATGTAGATAATGTACATAATAATACCTCATCTCAGAAATATAGACAGAAGGTATGTTTTTTTTGGAACTGATATCTGAAATTATATTTATGGTGTCTGTTTTTATAGAATTATTAATATTAACTAAAGGCAAATTTAATAAGGCATATGATAAAAATTTCAAGATGAAACCAATTGAGAAGTTCTTTGTTCGAAATCTTTTAAAATGATCAACATTCAAGTTGACTCATCAAGCAATGTGCTTTCACAATTAGGTTCTAATTAAAAAAGATTTTCTTTTTTATTTTATTAAAGGTATCCATCCTTAAGTTATTTATGAAGTTTAATTTAACACTGTGGTAGAAGTTGATGTGAAAACATAATACAGAAATCAGCTGAAGTGCTTAAATCTAACTTTGCTTAGCTAACTGATTAATAAACCACTTGGAATTACTTAACATATTTTAGAAGCAGACAATAAGAATATGTGCAGGATTTATGAATAAGAAAAACCTGAGGCTAGTTTACAATGTACCAGAAATGACTTTGGCTAGGTTACAATGTGCTAGAAATGACTTAGGCTAGGTTACAATGTATCAGAAATGACTTCAGCTAGGTTACAATGTATCAAAAATGACTTTGGCTAAGTTACAATGTACCAGAAGTGACTTTGGCTAGGTTACAATGTACCAGAAATGATTTTGGCTAGGTTACAATGTACTAGAAATGACTTCAGCTAGGTTACAATGTACTAGAAATCACTTAGGCTAGGTTACAATGTATCAGAAATCACTTAGTTTAGGTTAAAATTACTACTTTAGTGGATAATAACCTTATTAGGTTTTACACATGTCTGACAAAGCTCTGTTTGATAAATACCAAAGCTGCTTGGCATAGAGTTTCATTCTGCATATCATCTTTTTGCAGATTATTTAAAGCCAAAACCTAAATAGAGCAGAGGTAATTTTTGTTGTGTTGTACCAATATTAGTCACTGGAAGTAAGCTGTAACAGAAACAGCCCTCTTACAAACACTGCCAAGGCCATAACATTTGGTAGATTTTGCCTTGCTGGCTTGTGCTCAGTATTGCTGCTACCATATATACTTGAGTATAGTAAGAGTTTTTATATCAGTTTTTTTTTATGCACAAAATCCAAGGTCGCACTATACATAGGTAATATTTTTGAATATGTTAAAAATCATGCATTTTTGGTGACCAGTTGCACTATATAGATGTAATTTTTTCTGGAGAGGTTAAAATTCATGCAAAAAATTCAGTGCTCGAACTGTATTTGAAGCTGGCTTATACAGGGCGAAGCAAAAATTGTGCACCATAAAGATAATTTAATAAAAGTATAATTATACATGAACATTTTATTTATAAGTTATTTAATTGTTATATGAGCTGTTCAAAATGTCCTTCATTTTTTTGAAAACACATTTCAGTTTTGTGCCTGCATGATTCGTTAACACGTCGGAGAGTTTCCTCTGTCATTTTACTGCATTCATATTTAATTCTTTCTTGAAGTTCCTCAGTATTTCTTGGGTCCATCTAATAAACAAATGATTTCAAAATGGCCCTAAAGAAAAAAATCCAAGCGTGTGAGGTTTGGTGACCTCGATGACCACTCAACAAGACCACTTTGACCTATTAAATAACTCCTATTGTGCACAATGTTTTCTTTACCCTGTACATGAGTATATACAGTAAATGTTTAAAATATATGCATTCCTCACTTTCCAGCCTTGATAGAGTTTAAAAGCATCTACATGGCCTTGCAGGTAATTAATTATTTTCCACTCTACAACTCCTTTCCGGCAGATGAAACATTGCAATCCTCTCACTACACTATTACCATTTCCATGGAAAATTCTGTGATGAGCTATATTCCTTTATTCAACCAGTTAGTAAGAAAGGCATTCCATTTGGAAAATATTATCCCAAGAACTGCTACTTTATGGAACAGACTCCTGAGAGAATGCTACAAACTTAACAACTAACAAGTCTAGGATCAAGCATTATTTTTGCTACATATCCTCAATATCTGCACTGCCATCTCCTCTTATGTTCATACAACAACTGCATTCAGTAGCCCTCTACATTGAGTGGCACTTGTATTGGATGAAGAATTAGGAAAAAAACATTTCCTAAATATATAAATATTTTGACAAAAAGATAAACACATATCAAACTACAAATGTTAAATCATCTTACTACCTTTTTAAAATGAGTGCATCCCCACTAAATCTTGAGCACTTCCTACCCCTCCTTTGAGTATCAATGTTGCCCCCCCCACCCAAAAAGAGCATTAATGCCCATATTGAAATATCACTACCATAGACAAAGTATGTGATAAATGAAGAAGATTTATGGAGAATAGGGACTACAAAGAATCTGTTGCTTACAAGTGGAAAGACACCTAACAGTGGCACATATAACAAAGAAAGAAGTCTTTGAAGATTTAACACACACAAGACACATTAAAGTGAAGAGGAAAGTAACAAAGTATGAGCAAATGGATGGAGGAACAAGTACCACAAAGAGAAAGAAGGGGGATAAAGGATCCAGTATTGCTGAGAGCAACAAAAGGCAGGAAGTTGTGGAGAGCCATGATCGCTCATGTCCTAAGGAGACATAATACATAAAGAGAAAGAGAGAGATGGAGAGAGAGAGAGCAATAAAATTAATAAGATCAATATTCCAAACAACATGGAATAAAAAATGGTGAGATATAAAACTTGCCTTATTCTTTTGTTTTCCTTAATTTCTTTTATTTCCCTTACATTTTTGTCTGCCTTAATTATTTTGCCTTCTTTCTTTTATCTACCTTAATTTATTTTGCCTTCTTTTTTTATCTGCCTTAATTTCTTTTATTTGCCTTGCTTTTTTGTCTGCCTTATTTGATCTGACTTATTTCTTTTGTCCTCTTTCTCTTATTTGCTTTAATTTCTTTTGTCTGCTTTATTTCTTTTATTTGCCTTACTTTCTTTGTCTGCCTTATTTTTTTTGATCTGTTCTATTTCTTTTGCCTTCTTTCTTTTACCTGCCTTAATTTCTTTTGCTTAAATTTAATTTGTCTTAATTTCTTTTATCCGCCATATTTCTTTTGTCTGTCTTAATTTCTCCATACATTAAATTCTTTTATTTGCCTTAATTTCATTTGTCTGTCATATTTTTTACCTTCATTAATTTTTATTCACCTTATTTCTTTTACCTGTCTTCTTTTCTTTATCTGCCTTCATTTTCTATACACCACTTTTTTATTTGCCTTAAATTCTACCTTTTTTAGGTACTTACGTATCACATTTGTCTCCTTCAATCCTTGGTTTACATTGACACTGTCCAGTTATTTTGTCGCAGTCCATGCTCATAGAGCCACCAAGATTACAGTCGCAGGCTGCAAAATTAAATATTATTATTAATTATAGACAGAATAAACTGCAAAATAATTCAATAAATTCATTTATTTTTTTGCTTTTCTTATTTTTTAGATACTGGTTAAAACACAAGTAACTACCAAAGTAAAAGTATATGTCAATAAAACAATATCTTTGTTCCAAGTTTAGGGCTTACAGCTACATCACTTTGAAATACCAGTTCCTGTACAGTCACCAAAGTTAAGCAATGTTGAGCCTAATCAGTACTCAGATGGGTGATTGCTTGGGAATACTAGGTTCTGTGTGGGTTGTGTAACAGTTAATAACTCGGAATTGTTAATATGAGAGCAGAGTTTCAATTCCAGTTGTGTTTATTATATTCACTTATGCATAAATACTCTTGGGAAAGGTATAAATCCACTTCTTCTCCCCCACCAGCTATTGGTTAATTAATAAGACTTGTGTCACTAAACCATCATTATCTCCAAAAATAAAATTGTGTACAAAAAATATTTAGATTTCAGCATTAAATAACCTGCAAATGGTTGATATGTTGCTAAACAAAAACAAGCAACAAACCAACCAATTTTAGAACTTTGAGTCATGGTTTCACAAATATTCATCTTATTCAAGAGAAATAATTTGGTTAATTTAGCCTTGGACAAGGACTCAAGTACAGCAGACTGATCCAGATCAGAAAACAAAGGATGCTTCAATGATTATCTATTGTAGAGGAACAATGAATTAATCTTGTTCCAACCCCATTATTGTAAGACGCTTCTGACTTTAGTTGGATACTTACTGCATTATATTGCACTTTTAGCGTCATTTAACATCTATACGGTGTGTCCCTTTAGAGCATTGGCCATCACAGCTCTCCACAATCTCCTGTCTATTGTAGCTCTTAATAAGATTGTCATTTTTCCATGAGGACTTAGAAAATATGATAGGCACAGGACAGATTGAAAGTAAGAGATAGAGGAAAATATCGTAGAACCTACTTGGCAAATTTGAGTGAATAGATAGTGGAGTAGAGTTTGGGATACATGGCAAAAAGACAAAAGTTATTAAGAGCTACAAAGGAGAAGAAATTGTGGAGAGCCATAATTACCAACATTTCAGAGGGATGCTGCAGTGTTTTAAAACATTTTTTTTCGGTTGGGCACTTTGACATGGTGTATGAAGTTGAATACTTACTGTAGTATATTGTACTTAGTGTTATTTAATATGTATGTACTGTGCCTCTTTAGGATGTTGGCAATCACAGCTCTCTACAATTTCGTTTTCTTAGGATGGTTGCCATCCAAGCCTATGCTGTTATTTAACCAATTTATTTGTATTAAATGCAGTACTCTTTCAGGATATAGGCAATCATGGCTCTCCACAAATTCCTTTACTTTATTATCTGTGAATTTTAAATGTTACGCCCTTTCATGACATGGACAATTATGGCTCTCCACATATTACTTTTCTTTCTCATCTGTGAATTTCTAACTGATTTTCTATTACCTTCTACACAGTGTGGAATTCAGAATTTTCTTTCTCTTAGGGTGATTGCCAGCCAAGGATAGAGAACCCAGTCTACCTAACTATTTAACCCATAGTTGGGGAGAGAAGAGATAAAGTATGATTGATAATCACTGGTTACTCTACATCTGAGGTTTGGGCCATACTAATTCAAAAGATGTTTTTCCAGTGAGCTGAACTAGTTCCAGATACCATTAATAATAGAATGTAATTGATCCAAAGTGGCTGCTCAAAATTTAAAGACTTGTACCAGACAAAGTTAAACTTAGTAAATATCTGTTATGCTATCTTTTCTTGGAGTAGTGATTGGCATGTTATTCTCATAGAACTTTACTAATATGATTGATCCTCAATGGCTGCTCCTGACTTGAGGCCTTGTGTCAGACTAAGGGGTGCCTTTCTAAGGAGCAGTGGTTAGCAAACAATTCTCAAAACATTTACCACTGCAGCATGATTGATCCTTAATGGTTGCTCTTAATGAGAGGCCTTGTGCCAGACTAAAAGAATATTTTTTTTCAAGCAGTAGTGATTAGCAAGCTAGTTTAACATATTGTTACTACTGGGTTCTGTGATTGTCACTGGGTTCGCCACACTTAAGGCCTTGTGCCAGACTAAAGCTTAGTAAACATCTGTTATTGTCCATTTCCAATGTGCAATAGTCAAAAAGCTAATCTCACAGAATCTTAATACTGTAGTGTATTTGATACTCAGTGATTGCTCCAAACTTGAGGCCTTATGCCAGACAAATCTAAATTTAGTGAGTATAAATAACAAAAGGCCAAAAAGAATGATTGATTGTCTTTTATAGCTTCTTTGTGGGTTATTTAAAGCCGATTTGCATTGCAAAAATAATTCTTTTTTGCCAATTAGCATTCACAATTTATTTTTGAGAATAAAAATTATAGTTCAGAATCAAGTCCTACTATTTAAAACAGTGTTTCTCATCTGGTGTACCCTGGGGCACAAATACACCCTGAAAGGTAGCAAGGTGTGACCCAAATTAACAGAATTGTAATTTATGAATTATTTTTTTTATATATTTATAACAATTATAAGATGATGAAACCTTATAATCTCATAAAGTTAGGGACTAAATATCCTTTATTAGATCTGAACTTTGAAATGTGAGAGGAACATATATATTCCTTCTCAAGTAATAAAAATCTGAAAATCCTTCAGCAATTATATGGAACAATTCCTAGAATTTTTCATTATATATATATAAATATATATATATATATATATATATATATATATATATATATATATATATACACACCCATTCTCCTGTTGAATTCCATGTAAATCAGTTCCTTGAAACCCACAGCCTGACACCAGCACATGAGATTTGATTATAGTGGTGAAAGTTTTGTGCAGAACCAACCGCACTTTTTGAAGGGCCAAATACAGAGACCTGGTGCACTACGTGCCACAAGGTCCTCAAACGACCCACCACAGGTTTTGAATTCAGAGTTGTCCTTCTCCTAGACCAGTTGTCATCCGAGGCTACAGAACCCAGTTTGTCCTGCTATTTATCCAGAGCTAGAGGGAGAAGAACAGGATTCATACCTTTCCCAAGGGTATTAGCATGTAAGTAAATGTAATGGATTCAACTCGAATTAGAACTCGGCTCTCCGATTCCTCAAACCAAGCTGCTATCCATTACTCCACCGTACCTCCTTATATATTCATGAGAGTAAATTTATTATGTTGGTGTGACTACACATGCACATGAGCAAGTGATGCTGGGAATTTTCATTTTAAAACTTTTTTTGTTAGTCTAGCTGATTTCATTTATACCTTTTTCGTTTTTCTTTCCATCACGTTTGTTATTAGATATCACACACTGTGATAATAGAAGTTCTGCCAGGAATGGTGAAATTTTGTAAGAACCAGGGTGTAAATTTATTGCAGATGACCTTGTGATCAAAGCACTCTCTAAATATTTTCCTCAGAGTAAATTGTTTTCTTCTTTAATCAGAGTAATATTTTTTATGTCAAAATTGTGGTCAGTCTTGATACAGTTGGTAACCAATGCATTTGATGTATTGTTTTGTAAAATGTCCCTTTTGTGTTCATATAATTTTTTATTTAGATTCCTTGAGGTTTCTCTATGTAATTTTGTGACAACTATTGCAGGTGATCAAGTAAATTCCTCCTTCAAGTTTTAGCTGATTGTTTTGTTTAGTATTGACTAAGTCTTTTATTATATGTCTTTTATATCACATCATTTTCATTTTTCTAAGAGTCTTTTCATGTAAGTAACCTGACTAGAATTCAAACTTTTTTTTATGATTCCTCATTTGCAGCCACTCACCATTACACCATCCAAACAACCCAGTTAAAACAAAAAGCAAAGTTTTTTTACAAGTAAGTATTGTATTTATATCATACGTATATGGAAAAGATTTGAAAAAAAAACATGTCATGCAATATCAATAAACTGAAAGATGTTTAAGTCACTGACAATAATGAATATTACCTCGACAACCAAATGGATTTCGGCGCTCAAACTTATAGGTTCCCACTGAACACTGACCACACTTGCGTCCAGTTACAGCAGGTTTGCATAGACACTGACCAGTCTTCTCATTGCACATGTTAAATCCACCAATCGCTCCATCAGGATGGCACTGGCAGTCTGCATAAGGGAATACAAAAATATAACCAACTTAAATACAGTTACAATCAATCAAACTTATTGCAAAGATAGTGATGGGTATCAGCCAGATAAAATTTATACTTTTTCCAAAGACCATTTTTAAAATTCTCATTTTTCTTTCAGATGCATTACCATAGCATTAAGGACATTAATATTCCTGTCATCGCTAATGTGGGACCTATTTGAAACACTGGACTACAACATCTGCAAATTGAGACAATGAAAAGAAGACCAAACAGTGGTCATTAAGTATCATTAAAAAGGTTACCATTACGGACATGATGGTCAACATTAATAAGAACCACTTGATCCAGACAAGCAGGGAGCATTGTGGCCATTCTTGAAGCTAAGGGTAGTTTTAATGAATAACATTTTTCTCTTATATATATATATATATATATATATATATATATATATAAATTAAAATAAAAAAAAAACAGACAACCTTAAGGGTCCATTTATTATATTTTATTTCCCCAGGAAAGACTTTTTTTCCTGGTTCCTCAGATCACATTTCCAAGCATAAAAAAATGCTTTTAAAATTTACATATTATTTTTATATGCTTTTGAGGGGTAATTTTAAGTTGATATAAGGTCATAGAGAGAGGGGGAGGAGGAGGACGACAGATATGGTCAAAAATAGAGAAGGAAGGTAGAGATAGGAATAATTTTAAATCTATTTTTATTAAGATACTTAATAGTAGGTATATATATATATATATATATATATATATATATATATATAATAAATAAATCCTATGTGATGAAACCTAAGTAGGTACAACCTGTCTCATTAGGATTTATTTATTTTAAGTGTGCTCTACTTAGCATATTGAGCACTCTTCATTTTAACTTATTACTCACTATATATATATAGCATAATGAGAAGCCACGTATACTTTCTTAATATGTATATATAAAGTTGTAATTCAAAAATAATAATGTTTTTTATGAACATATTTATTTATTTATATATATATATATATAAATATATATACTTTTATATATAAATATATATATAAATAAATACTTTCATAAAAAACATTATTATTTTTTTAATTTGCAACTCTCTCTCTCTCTCTCTCTCTCTCTATATATATATATATATATATA